ACTTACTATCCACACTAGTCTGAAGCATTTTGACAAATTTGCTAAAAATATTCCACCCAGCTAGAGCTCTCAAGGAGTAAAGTTGTTTCTGAGGCTGGTTGCATAACTTCGTTCTAAAATGAACTTGCTTCATCCTTCTTCCAATGTTCTTTGCACCTTTGCTCTGTGTTTGGAGCAGGCTAATAAAAATACACAGTTAGAACAATGTCAGCCCAGTTGCTGCTCTGTGGTGTCCCAGGTTTTCTCTCTCCTCTCATACTGTCAGTCCCTGGAGTTGGACCAGAAAATTGTGATCTTAACTAATGATATGAATGGGCAGAGCTGAGCTACATGCTGACCTCAATACAGGAGACAAATCATACATTTTTTTTAAAAAGCGCCAGCTTAAGAGCAGACAGAATGACAGCCTATAGATTAAGGTGAGGCGAAGTGCAGAGTATCTGTTTTAGGCCTTACACTTCAGAAGAAGAAAAATGCTGTGTTTTATCTGTTATATGCTTGTGATACTCCAGTGGCACAGGAGCTGGGTAAATTTTAACTCAGTAAATGTTAATTAATTGTATTGGCAATCTTGTTTTCTCCTAGACCATTAATAGTAATTAAAATGTGGACTCAAAACAAAAAATAAGGATGTGCAGTTACGCATTTCCTCGCTGCAGGAACTGATAATGACATGGACAGCAGCTTAGAAGGTCCCATCTGTACAAAGTACTTGGGTGATTAACTGACTGTATTTGACAGTTGCTGCAAGGCTCTTTCCTCCTTCAACCTGTGTGCAGAAATACTGTTTCTTCTATAGACTGATGCTCAACCAACTGATTCTGTCTTTTGTAGGATCAGTGACGACATGAAGCTGACTGATCTGGAGCTGGTCAGGCTGGCAAACAATATTCAAGAGTTACTTTATAATGCCTCTGATATCTGCCATGATCGTTCAGTCAAGTTCCTCATGGCAAGAGCAAAGGTAAGGAGCTTGAGTGAGACTGCTGGTGCTGTCTCCTGCTTAATGAGAATTTGCTCCCAGGTGTAATGAGGGTTCTGGAATGGCATTCACAGCAGGAGTACAGTAACTGTTCCTGCTGCCACCAGGCATCCGATGTTAATGCTCAGAGCACACCAGCATTAACATCAGTTTAAGGCAGTGTGGGTTTCTGTTACCTTTTTTCTTTTTAATATTCTGACTTGCTGTCTTTGATGCTTCATGCAGAGAATGTGTATCTATGACAAGGTGGCTGCTTGCATTGCGACCTACCTTCTCGGTCCCATGTAGGGTTAAACAATGTACCTCTTAAATTACTAGTAGCCCTCACACATGTTAAGTAGTTATTTCTGTACATCTCTGAATTTTTGTGGTGTTATGTCTCCTTACAATGGTTTTCTTTGCATATAGGATGGCTTCCTGGAGAAGCTGAATTCCAATGAGTTTGTTAGTCTTTCTCGCTTGATGGAAGGCTTTATCATGGATACTGAGCAGATCTGTGGCAGGAAGAGTATGTCTTTGCGAGGAGCACTTCAGAGTCAAGCCAATAGATTTGTGAATAGATTTCATGAGGAGAGGAAGACAAAACTAAGGTATCTCTGGATAGAAGATCTTTGTGTTCTTCCATGAACAATTGTATCAATCGTATGAGAGCCAGACACAATCTTTTGTTGCCTAGAACACTCGTAAGCCAGTCGTACTTAAGAGCAGGGAGTGAAAAAACTGCATTAAGACCCAATTACTGCCAATTGGTTTAGACTTTTACTATTTCTATAACTTGATTTCTTCAAACTGATTTGTTCTACAGTTGCCGAAATAAAGACTGTATTTGCTACATAAAGTACACAAGACTGACACTGAAGAGCAGGATTGCTCTGTTGCAGGGCAATTGAAGGGTAATTCACTTCCAACTGTTTTTTAAAAAAACAAACACCAAACCCAAACCACTCGGGGAACAACCTTCCCACTAATGTACATCAGCTCTATTTGCTCTCATTCATCAAAAGCTGTTAAAATTCTAGTATTTACACTGTATTTCATTCACAGTGATCTCATTAACACCTTTATTGCCTAGTGTAGTTTTTGGTCCCCTGTGAGAGATCGAATGAGCAAATCGTGACATCTTGAGACCAACACAGTATTGTTCTGTTTCACTGCTGCCAGTTGTTGGGCACCTTCTTTAATAATGGCTAACATATTATTTTGGGCCAGTGACTTTTTAGAAATGGTTGTAGTTTTGATTCCACAGCATTACAGGCAGGAGAAACGTCAAGACAAGGCATTTCACTTCCTCAGACTCCTCTCTCTTGTGTTTCTAACTAGCCTACTTTTGGACAACGAGCGCTGGAAACAAGCTGAAGTTCCTGCCGAGTTTCAGGACCTCGTTGATTCTGTGTCAGATGGCAGAATTTCTCTCCCTGAAAAAAAACCAGCAGGTGTGTATCTTGCAGTCTTGCTGTGAAATTAATTTATTATCAGCAAATTCTGCTGCTGAATGTTGATGGACATATTCTGATGTCACTCTTGGCTTGTGTTTGCTCACTGTCTTCCGTGGGATCAGAAAGAAGTTGATACCTGTTTTCTTTTAGGTTTTTTTATTTCTTTTTTTTTTTCCTGTTGCCACTGTTGAAACTTCTTGTGCTGACCTTGGAAAGATAATTTTATTTTTTTTTAAAAATGCCCAGAACTGTTAGCACAGGGAGGGAACTACCTTTTTATACAAGTATTCCCAGTGTAGAGACTTAGTCACTGCACAAATTCAGCCTTTCCCCAGAGCACACCACTGAAGACTTGCAAGGGACAGGAGCACATGCGTGTGCTCAGCCCTCCTTGTGTGAAACAAAGCTTGCTCCTTCTCACTGCTTCATCTGCCAGTTCAAATGAAAGGCAGCATGCCATGTGGCTGCTCATGGAAGGGAAAACTCGTGTTCATTCAATTATTCACCTTGCCACAGAAGCCTCATTTGACCTCAGAAGTGCTTTTTTTTTCTCCTTGTGCCCCATTTCCCTGTGTGCACAGTGGGAGTGCTTAATGCATTCTTACCTTGTGGGGATGCTCATCCAATATTGCAGCGATGGATATGTGTAAATAGCTAGAAGAGAAGGAAAACATACAGAGAGGAGAGTAAAAGGGCAGTAGATGAGAGGGAAGGAAATACAGTGATATCATGGTGGAGAAACCCCAACCTCCCAAAAGGAATGTAGCAGATACCAACAGTGTATTAGGCAGTAATCACAATAATTATGGAACATGACACCAAAATATGTTCATCAACCATTGCCCTTAAAATAACCTCTTGCAGCTTCCTTCAAGCAGATAATTTAGCGTGAAAAACTGCATCAGTAAGAGCTTCTACGGTGAAGCCTGAGGAAGAAGTGATTTGAAGCTAAAATATTAATATGCACAGCAGATCACTTCAGAGTGTATAGTAGAAAACCTAGTGACTTGTTCCACTTTTCTTCTTCTATTTGTAACCTGTTGTATTTGAAGTTTGAAAGTCCACAGTGATTGTGAGACTTTGGGGAGATTTTTGATCTAAAGTGGCAGCAGATAATGAAGTAACTTTATGGGTCATAATAATGATGATGGGTGATCAACTTTCTAATAAATACTCAAAAAAGAGAGCAGTGCTCCAGAGATGGATTGTGGGTTTTTGCAAAACTTAGCAAGTGAACACTACAGTTTTATAAACAGTATTTTTTGCCCTTGTTTTTAGTTCAACTCATCCCTTTCTTTGTCTTACTAAAATGTCTAGCTACTGAAGAAAGAAAGCCAGCTGAATTCCTTGTTGTTGAAGGACAAAAATATGCAACAGTTGGGTAAGATGCACTCTTTTCTCTTAGCAGTGGGTTAGTTGGCAAGAATTTTTGAGTAGAACTGTGATGAATGCTAACAACTTTAGCAATCTTACTTAATTAAAACTCCCTCTCCTTCCACAGACTAGTTTCTCTTCAGTTCCCAAACAGTTATAAAACATTACAAGCTTTTCTATACATTAAAATGTTGTCTATTCTCTGAACAACTAGGCTGGAACTTCTCATTTCATTTGAGTGGGTTTTTTTTCCAATTATTCATGAAACACTTAGTCATGAAAATACAGGTTTGTTTTCATAGCACTCTGTTGTTTATATATCTATATGCTATATAGGTTATCTCTGGCAAAAATCATAGACTCATAGAATATTTTGGAATGAAAGGGACTTTTTAGAGTCATCTAGTCCACCCTCTCTGCAATGAGCAGGGAGACCTTCTGCTAGACCAGGTTCCTCAGAGCCTCATCAACCTGACCTTGAATGTTCCCAGGCATGAGGCATCCATGGTGTTTCTGGGCAGCCTATGCTAGTGTTTCACCACCTTCATTGTAAAAAATTTCTTCTTTATATCTAGTATGAATCTATCATTCTCTACCACAAAACCTTGTCCTATCATCACAGGCCCTACTGAAAGGTTTGTCCCCACCTTTCCTATAAGCCTTCTTTAAGTATTTGAAAGGCCCCAATAAGGTCTCTCCAGAGCCCTCTCTTCTCCAGGCTGAACAGCACCAAAATACATGAGTGCTCTACTGAATGATTGCTTATCTTATTCTGAATAACGTGTAGCTGTCTCAGAAGCTGCATGTGCTGTTTCTTGGTATCCTAATTGCTTTGAATTGGAAAGTAGTTTCTTTATAGCTGGTTATATCAAAGGCATTTTAAAATAGACGATGCTCACATATTTCTTTCATTTAAAAGCAAGCTGTGCTTCCAAAGACTGTGAGGCTTAAGCATTAAATATGCATGAGAGTGTTTTCAGGGAGAGCACAAAACCTAGAAGATCTCACTCCCCAGAGGCCTAACATCAATTTACCCCAAACTCAAAAGCTGGGATTTATAGAATGCCTTGGACCAGCTGTAATTTTTATGAGTTGCCTCATGATGATGTGTCACTGTTCAATTGGGACCAGAAGCTAATGGCTGATAACTTCTGTGCCAGCCAACTGATATCACTGGAGCAGAGCATTTCAGGTTGAGTAGGAGCATTGCTCTAAAGGATAAAATTTGCTTAATATATGATGTGTTTGACAGTCCATCACTGCTCATTTGAAACTTGTTATATTTAGCTCTGTGAAGCAATTGTCAGCTTCACGGTACAAATACTTGTTTTGGTTCTACACACTTCTACATACAGTTTCATTGTATTTAATCAAACAAAGTGCATTCATCAACAATACCTAGAAGTTCACAAAAAATCCTCCAGGTGTTTATTTTCAGTTGAGTTTTCATCATCCTTCTGCACTCTACTGCCTAAGGAAAGAGATGTAACTTTTTGAAATGTTAGAATATCTTCTCCAAACATTTGATCTTGCCTTAGTTTTCTACCTTCTGTGTATATGAATTCAAAGGAGCATGACTGCTCTATGTGGAGCTGCTTTGATTCCATCCAATGGCTCCCAAATTCTCCAGTGCCTCCTGACTTCTGCATAAATTACAGGTGTTGAGCATCTTTGAATATTTGGTGCTATTTCTTCACAGCTAACTTCTCTGTTTGTGACTCCTTAGCATTCATTACATATTTTTCAGAGATTTTCTCTCATATAAAGTACTTATTCCTTGTAACTATCTTTATGTATTTCTTCTTTCATGTTTTACTTCTACTTTATAGCAGTTAGTGAGTCTATTCAGTCTATAATCTCTAGCATGGGGTAGCTTTCCATCCACGTGACTGGCCTGTGTTTGATTTTTCAACATCTTATGTGCACTGAGATGACATACTTGGCTGTTTCCTCTCTTGTAGGACAGTATTGCTGCTAATAAGAATAATCCTTGAGTACTGCCAGTGTGTGGATAACATTCCTTCCATCACTACTGACATGCTGACCCGCCTGTCAGATTTACTGAAGGTATGACTCCAAATGTACCTCATGTGCTACTTAGGGGCATTCAGGGCAGAGAACATGTCTTACTGTCTGTAATGCTCATGTGTTGTTGTGATTTCGTATGAACTATATAAATTATCTAGTGATCATTGTGTTTGTTACTGTGCCATAAGGAAACCTTTTAAGCCAGAGGCATTAAAGATGCAATTTGTTGTTGTGTGGATTAACTTTGGGAGTGCTGTTTTTCCACTTGTTCACCTGGAAATATATTTGTTATAGCTGCCTGTCCTTCAGGCTGGGTGTAGGACTAATGCTACTGAAGAAAAGGTATTTGATCCCAGATGCCACAGAAATATATCTGTAGTGTGGAAGGAGGCAAGTTCCTTGGTTTTTACAAGTCAGTAGAGGTATAGTCAATAGTAGCATGAAAAAAAGTATGGAATGAAGCTCCTGTTGTAATATGCAAAG